CAGCGATCACCCGTGGCTGACTAGGTATCTGAACGAAATGATTGCCCGCTCCAGTCTGGAGACCTCAGACTATTCTGCCGACCCTGCCACTTGGACGTCTCTCGTCGTCATTCAGTCAGACGAGGTCCCTCCACATAGGGATCTAAACAATGAGCAGGGGACACATAACCACCTTTTGTGCCTCGACCACGTCCACCTTTGGACCGAGGGAACTGCGGAAAGCAACCCTGTAAAAGGGGGGGGTACCACCTCCGACTTGACGGTCTGCGACCCCACTGGCAGAGAGCACTCAGGTCGTGTAACTGAAGTCTCAAAAAAGCTGGTGACGTTTGATGCCCGCAAATGGCATTCCGTTGTCCGCACCAGGCGTTGGACGCTTGCTGGTTACACGCCCCGGGGTTGGGATACCTCCCTTGCACCGCAGCTGCAAGACTTAGGGTTTAGGGTTCCCCCTAGGACCCAGGTTGCTATGCTTAGGCCCCAGAACCTTGCATCGTCCTCCTCCTCAAGCAGTAACGCACCCCAAGATGGGGAGAGCGACACCCTAGCCGGAGGCAGTCTGCCACCCGGAAGCTCCAGTGCGTCAGGCCAGGTCTCCTCACTTGACACTTCCACCCAAGAGACTCAAGGTTCACTGCCAAGCCACATGGGTCACGTCGAAGATGAGGAGCTCATAAGGGTTTTAATGCACTTGGGGCAAGGGGAGAAGGTAGAAGCTTTGGGGAATTTAGGGGTTGAAACCTTGGCCGACCTTGACCGACTTTACCTTGAAGACCTTCTAGAGGCAGGATGGATCCAACAAGATGCTAGGGCTCTCCTGACATCGACCGGAAGGCCGATGGGTTTGGCACCAAGGCCGATGGGTTCAAGCACAATCAGACCCGCGTTCCTCACCAAAATGGCCTCCTCCTCTGCGGCCTCGCGCCCTGGACAGATTCCCGAAGCACCAGAAGAGGCAGACAGCAGTTGTGGTGCGTCAGTGGGGTCTGGGCCCTGGCATGATCCTCGTATGACCCCAGCTCTTGTCGAACTTATCCCGCAGCGACTGTATGATGAGGGACAAGAGATGGGCCCTATCTCCCCGGCATTGTATGCCGAACTGGTTCATGTGGGTAACGAAGCTGATCTGGTAGTGCGGGAAAACGATGCGTACTACGCAGAAGGAGCTTTTCAAGATGTCCTAAGGGGGTACAGGGTGGGGACAAATGGCCTGGATCCCATCGTAGGAGGGTTACTGTTGAGAGATTTGGCTCGGTACAGGAGGGAAACTTTCGGGTTGGAAGGGGAGACAGAAGAAAGCCCTTACACCACAGATTCCTCACACACCTTGCCGGAAGTCCGTGCCCTCTCAACCCTTGCCCTCCAACGCCACACCAGTCCTTCGCCCGATAGAGCGCCAGCGGTGCAGCTGAACCCTTCCATATTGCTGCGCCTGGAGGATGTCGAAGACAGTGTTGCCGTTTTCCACAGACCACTCGGCTCGGGGGCAAGCGCGCCTTTTGGTGTTCCTGAGGAGGTGGAGCAACTTACGCAGCTGCTGAAGGTTGATCTGTATACCCAAGATGTCGAAGGGAAGCTTGAAGCACTCAACGGGGCCCCTCTTGAGACTGCCTACAATGTCTCCCCTGCAGAGATTCGAAGGTTCAGTGATCGCTGGAAGGCTTCGATGGTGGACGAGTTTAACTCGCTGATAGAGAAGGGGGCAATAAAGAGAGTCTTTGGGGAAGAAGCTGCTAGGCTGAAAAGAGACCCTTCGTCAAAGGTACTGCATACCAAAACCGTGTGTGTTGCAAAGCCGGGAAAGGCGGGTGAACCGTTTCGTAGAAAAACCCGGATTGTGGCTTGCGGGTGCGAAAGTGAATACACGGATGAGTCGAACTTGTACGCCTCCGGAGTAGTCGCCGACTCGTTGAGGTCGAGCCTGGTCAAGGCTGCCACGGAGTCGTGGCAGGCTCATGCCACGGACATTCACACTGCTTTTTTGCGCGCCCCTTGGCCAGGCAGCTCACCGAAGACAGTACATCCTTCAGCCAGCGCAGGTCTTGGTAGACTTAGGCATCGCACAAGAGCATGAATGCTGGACCATAGACCGTGCCATTTATGGCCTCCGGGAATCGCCACGGTGGTGGACCGTTTTTCGGAACCAGTCACTCCTGAAGGAAACCATACGGTCCCTCAATCCGGAACCCCTGGGCGATCAGCCACCTGATGCCTCGACCCAGGAGGAGTACGTTCTGCAGCAAGGGCTTGTGGACGACAATATCTTCAAGATCAGACGTCGTAGCGACAACAAGCATGTTGGGCTTTTAGTGTTGTACGTAGATGATTTCTTGATCCTGAGTGACCCCAACGTCGCGCAGGCCATTCACGCCCATTTGCAGAATGTCCTGAAGTGGGAATGCGACCCACTGTCGACCGCCGCTCCTGGCCGCCCCTTGCGATTCCTGGGGGTCAACATCCGACCTCTCCCAGATGATGGGACAAGTGGCCCAGGGTTCTCTTTGGAACAAGAAGCCTACATAGAAGAAGTGCTGCGAGGTCATGGGTTTACTGGTCCGGGAAGCCGAGTGGCCTGCAGCAAAGAGCTGCTGTGTGAAGCCTTTGAAGAGAACCCAAACCAGCAGGACATCCGGGACGCCCAGAAGGCTACCGGAGAGGCCCTATGGGTCTCCCAACGCTCGAGACCAGACATATCTTTTGTCGTAAACTACATGTCCTCCATGTCCACCAGAGCTCCGAAGCAAGTTCTGCTGGTGGCTGAGCGCCTTTTCCGATACCTGCATCAGACTAGGAACCACCGGCTTGAACTTCGAGCGACCACAGGGAGCGAAGACCTAATCGAGGTCTTTACGGATGCATCATTCGCACCGTACGGCTCGAGCAGTTATGGCGGAATCCTCATACGCCTCAACGGTGCTCCATGCATGTGGCGAGCTGGTCGCCTTCCCCTGATCGCCGTGTCAACGGCGGAAGCTGAGCTCCAAGCACTCAGCGAGGGCGCCATCTTCGGGCAGTCATTCCAAGCAGCTCTCCAGGACATTACTGACCGACCAGCAGAGATTGTTCTGCGCTGCGACAGCACCGCCGCTATAGCCCTTGCCCAGGGAAGCTCAAGTCAGAGCACACGACATCTGAAGGTGCGGGCAGCAGCTCTGTACCAACAGCTACAGTCATCGATGATGAGGCTGGAGCATTGTCCAGGCGATACCCAACTTGCCGACTTATTCACCAAATCCCTTCCAGGTCCCCGCTTGAGCGAACTTGCTGGACTTGTGGGACTGACCGAAACAAGGACACCAGAGTCACCGGCATCATCTCCGCAAGCCAATGCTGTTGCAAGCAGGTGCCTCCCTTCTGTTGAGGGTTGGTTAAGAGTTTGGTTGGTTGTCTCTGCATAGTTGGGGGGGGAGGTCAAGAGGCCAATGGAAGTGAGGAGGAGCCCGTAGGGATTTCAGATGACACATATCTCTATGTGGCATTGCTCATCTTCATCATAGCTGTACTTGGGGTTTGGGAGGGTTTGAAGGCCACCCGGGCCTGTTGCAGCAGACAAGGGGAGGATGGGCGACCACAGTTGAGGGCCTTGTCCAAGAGGGAGAAGCTCCGGCAAGCCGTGTCTGAAGCGATTGAACGTGAGATCCCCTCCACTGTCACCTCGCCGTCCACACCCGCTACGGAAGGACTCCGGAGACGGAGATCAAGTGAGTCCTCCTCACCTCCACCACCTCCCTTGCCTGTCGCACGGGAATATCATGGCATCTTTGTTCCTCCTCCGCCGCCACCCATCATCCATGTGCATGCTCCGTCGCCTGCCGCTTCCGTTGCGCCGGAACCCGTGTGTGGCACCTTCCGTGAGGTTGCCTCCGGCTCGTCGTGCGTCCCTAACCCTAGAGGTAGTAGAGGTGAGGAGGTTACGAATCCAGTCCCCAACTCCTCAAATAGGGTGAGTCAGGAAGTTCAGACAGACCCTGTTCTGGTGTCTGGGCATGACGATAAGGTTTACTTGTCGAGTAGTGGGCGTGCTTTTCACGAGAACTCCCAGTGCCACGGAGGTCTCCCAAGGGGAACTTCCGTCGTATCGAAAAACACGTGTGGTCATTGCCTCAACCGAAAGGGGCGAGGCCTCTGAGACCTGTTTGGTGGGACTCGCCTGACGACTCTCCCAAGGAGGAGTGTTGAAAGTCCCCACCCCATTTCTGGCAGGTCAACGACTTCCGACCTCGAGGATGTGTCGGCTCAGCAGTGGCAACGACATGTCCACGAAGGGTCATTTCTCCGCATCATGTTAAGTCATGATCTCTTGGCATGCTGAAGCATGTGTTTAAGCTAGGCATAACAAACCTTGCCTTTACACGTTTTGCTTTCGCCCGAAGAGTGAAAAATAGGGAGAGCGCTCCTGGTTGATGGACCCCCTTGGTTGGCAGAGTCTGGTTGGGACTTCGTGCACAAGGAGGTGAACACTTTGGAGGCAGGCCACGGTTTCTTTGCTCTGGGTGATTGGTCTCTTCGACTACCTCAACCCGTTTAATTTCTACAGGTCCCAGTGCATGCTAGCCCCCCCAATGAAACCCTAAGCCCGAAAGAAAGTGATGCTGTGAGGTTGACTGAGGCGCGTCTTCATCCGATGTGTCTTGGCTTTCAGGGGCCCCTTTTTCGTAGCCGAATCTTGAGCTGCGTGAAGCACGGAAAACAGCTCGCATCTGAGCTTGCCATAGTGCCAACATTCCTGGCATAACCTTTGGAGAAGTCAGAGCACCAGATTCCCTTCGACTTCATCATCAGCTCCAGTGCGCTTGCTCCGCAATCGCACTGGTAGCGGAGCAAGGCTCCGAGATCCAGGGCTGGCACTTCTTCTTGCTCGCGGCTGTGGAACTAGTGTCCTTTGACTTCGTCCTCGAGGGGCTTCGTCCCCACTTCAGGGAGTGTCCGTCTCACTGGCTGCGGTTTTCGCAGTGAGTGAGCTGGGCTCTGTCTGAAGAACCGGACTTGGTGAAACAGCAATGCCTTTTGAGCAAGACGGAGGTGCCTCGGCCATTCCAACGTGGGATGGTCACCCAAAGGGCTGGCGAAGGTATGCGAGAGAGGTGGCCTGGTATGTGCAGGGAACAAAACACAATCAAAGACGCTACCTTGCAACCAGGTTAATCAGCAGACTTACTGGCTCGGCACGTTTGTTGGCGATGTCATGGCACCAAGACGAGTTTGATGGAGATCAGGGTGTCTTGACCTACGTGAGAAAGCTGGCTTCTTCCCCGCTTGTCCGCCGCTCTTTGCCAAACGCGGCAGCCATCATGAACCAGTACTTTCAGTTCAAGAGAAATCCAGGAGAGCCCATCACGACGTTCTTGGTGCGTGAGACACTTGGCTTTGAGGAGTTCCAGGAAGCACTTCTTCGTCTTCGAGATGAACGTCAGGGCCTGTCAGTAGATAAGCAGTTGTTCGGCTTAGAAAGTCTTCTTCGCAAGGAAGGTGGTGAGGACAACTCTGAGGCACCTGGAGATGATGAAGGGACGGACTCCAATGCCAGGGGAAAGCCAGAAGCAACACCCCCAGGCAGTCAGACTGGAAGTTCCCCACACCATCGTCCGAGCGGAGCAGCAGAGTCGACGCAGAAGCAGCCTCAGGGAGACAGCCCGGTCCCCCAACCTGAGCCAACTCCAAGGTCACCTGCAGGTGCAGCGGCTGTGTTTGTCCAGGCAGAGGAGGACACGTATGACTCGTTCATTTTGGATGTTCTTCGGGGCTGGCGTCTCTTGCAGGCGGCATCCTTGAGCTTGGATGAACGTCGTGATGTTCTTTCTGCAACCAGAAACAGGTTGGACTTTGAGAGCATCAGCAATGCCTTGCAGGTGCTTTGGGACGAGCAGCTTTCAGGAGCACGAAGGATGGCACCAACAAGCCCTCACCATCACCAGTCCTATGTCATGGAGCAGCAAGGATGGGACGAGGATGCCATGTTTCCTGGCTGGCACGAGACAAAAGAGGACGATCCTTGGGCAGATTGGCATGGTTACCATGTGGAAGAGCGATGGCCTGAGGGAGATGTGATGGCGCAAGAAAATATGGAAGAGCTCACGGCCAGTGAGCTGGAAGACCCAGCTGTGCGAGAAGCGCTTCAGGCTGAGCGAGCTGCTGAGTTGATGGCAAGCGAGGCAGCGATGACATGGAAGAGAGCTCAGAGAGCAACGTCAGAGCTTCGAAAAGATCGTGGCTTTGGCAAAGGGATGAGTGCAGCCGTTGTGTCTCCAGGAGGCAAGGGCAACACCGTGTGCTTCAAGTGCGGTCGTGCGGGCCACATGGCTCGAGATTGCACTGTGGTGCGAGGCAAAGGAAAGCAGTCCTTCTACATCGGCGAGGACTGGGACTACGACTACTATGACTACGACAACTTCGCCATCCAGAAGGGCAAGGGAAAGAAGGGCACGTTCGGCAAGAGTCACTTCGGGCTATCGAAAGGATGGAAGGGCCGAGGAAAGACCCCGTTCCGAAGCTCTGTTCCTGGAGTGAATGCCTATGGCCTTGAGATGTTGGGAGCAGCCGACCAAGGGCTGACTCTCGACTTCAATGTTGCCACTCGTGGCGACGCCGTTTCTCCGAATTGTGGGCTTGTGGACAGTGGAGCAACAGCATCTGCTGGTCCGGAAGCCAGTGTACAGTGCCTCATCAATGCTGTTTTGGAGAGAGACCGCTCTGCCACCATCAAGGTGGACCAGTCCCGTCGGCCATATTTTCGGTATGGTTCTGGTTCCTGGGGAAGGGCGCAGTTCCATGCGGAGATTTCATCGTCCTTGTCGGGTTCTACGAAGAGTTTTGGTGTGTATGCCTTGCCGAACCCCCCGGAGTATGTGGAGAAGTGGTTCAGAGATGATATGTTGGTACCTATTTTGGTTGGGATGAGTCACTTGGGTTCGCAGGGTGCAGGGATGATCATGACTTCAACGATGGCTTCTTCATTAATGCAACCGACAAGGCAAACCTCAGTGAGCCGAAGAGTGAACAGTACCTGACACAAACCTCCAAAGGCCACTTCGCCATCGACATCGTGGACTACCTCACTGGAGGTAAGGCCTGCTCAGAGGGTCACTGTCACGTGGTTGCGCAAGTTCATCCTCCTACCCCAAGCATCGCACTTCCCGGAACAGACCAGGACCTCCCCTTGCAGTACATGTATCCTCTGGAAATCATGTCGGAAGAGCTGATGGTTTCTGATAAGATACCCACCATGAGTGCAGCCGAGAGACACACTTTGATTGTGCAGCGGGGTCAGCGTTCACGCAGTGCCGATGGACAACAGCACCTTGGCTCGAGGATGCGTCTTGCCTCGCCACTACCTAACTCCGACAACATCCCCTCCAAGAACATCGTTGCTCATGCCGCCCAAAGTCGAGAAGAAGCAAGCGCCCCCCTTGGACGAGAGCAGGACAATCCCAGCAGATCCATTGACCTTTTTCCTTTCAACACCAACTCTTTCCTGAATACAAATTGCATCTCCGCATAGGGTTTAGAGGGGGCTTGTGGTTTAGGGCTTGAGAGAAAATGGATCAGAGCTTAAGGGCCTCACAGCTCGACCAAAGGAGGGCTGATATCAACTTTGGGGCCCCAAACCCCAAACCCCAAACCCCAAGCCCCAAGCCCCAAACCCCAAACCCTAAACCCTAAACCTCGAGTAGATGTAGGGCCCAAAAGGGCCCCGAAGCTAAGCTCAAAGCCCCAGCCGACGTGGCACTGGACTTCAGAGCAAGGTCTCCTTAAACCCCGAAACTTACTACACTATTTGCTTAAGAACCCTTGGGTTAGGGTTTAGGGCTTGGGGGCGTTTTAGGGTGATTTAGGGTTTCGGGTACGCCTAAACCTTAAACCCTTAAACCCTATAACCCGAAACCCTATAACCCCAAACCCTATAACCCTAAGCCCTATAACCCTAAACCCGACAACCCCAAACCTTTAGCGTGTGGGCTGTCCCCAGGTAGGGTTTAGGGATTGCTCAGAGCCTAGGCCCAGGCCTTCATGGTTCAGTGTCGTGGAAGTTAAGGCTAAAGGGGACTTAGGGGGTCTGGGGGCTTAGGGAGTTTAGGAACTAAGGGAGTTAAATGGTACTTATAATTCATAAGTAACAATGCTGCCCACGTCACTGGCCCTTTTGGGGGTCGGCGGCACTGGCGGTAGCCATTAAACATACATATATACATATATACATATATACATATATACATATATACATATATACATATATACATATATACATATATACATATATACATATATACATATATACATATATACATATATACATATATACATATATACATATATACGCGCCGCATAATCATTACATAGAAACACACATTAACTATCAGCCGAGTGTAATTGTTGCGGATGAGTGTAAGGCACCCCCCGCCAGGCAATAGCACTTGAATTTAAAGCTCCACCCCCCCCCCCCCCCCCCCCCCCCCCCCCCCCCCAGTGTTAGACATATTGATCAGATCTGCATTTGCATCCACTGTGATGCATGAGACATTGCATTGACTCTCTAACACCATTTGGCTCAAGGCCCAAGGTGCAAAACATTGGAGTCTCGAGTGATTGATGCACAGTCTGCTCTGATCAGTGATATTGCAGACTTGATCTTGTAAAATTTCATGGAAGCGGAGCTTCGGGCGAAGCCCAGGGCATCCGACTAGACATTGTACTAGATCAGCATGGCAATCTTCGGTGATTTCGAAGAATTGGGTGGGAAAAATAAGTTGTTCCCGCCACCCGTTTCCACGGAGATTCAAACAAGTGGGAAGATTGGTCATGGCAGCTTAAGTCCTCTGTGTCATTGTACAAACCCATGGCCCAAGGATTGATGGAGAGATTGGAAGGAACAACAGACCCATGCGCTGACCAACACTTGATCGATCGGGAACGCCCCAAACCAAAGACAATTGCATTATATGCTTGCTCAGATTACAGAAGGCCCAGCAAGATTGGCAGTCAGATTGAATACAGAACGGAAATGGCTTTGAGACATGGAGGCAATTGTTGGAGAGGTTTGCATTGCCCGACAGAGCCAGAGGACTGAGACTCCTCTGGATTTCCAACTCAGAGACGCCCAATTTGATTGAAGAACAAGCATGAGAAGGCAATTCGATGCAAAACGTCAGGTTCGTTGCTGCGAGGGTTTAGAGGGCTTGCAGTCTACGGTTTAGAGTTTATGGGTCTTAGGGACAACTGCAACCGAAGCCCGCCCCCCTTCCGCCCTTTCAGTCCCACGCACAGCCTGTAGGTATGAGGATGCTGCATGCCAAGGTTCAAGGTTTCGGTTTTTTTGGGGGGCGTGGGCCCGCGCCGCTAGGCCTAAAATATCTCTATATACAGGGCCAGTAACGGATATGTCGGATATGTGACATATGTACAGCGAGAGAGTGGGGTTGGAGAGAGAGTCTCAAGGCAGCCTCGGCCACAAGCTGCTCCACGTCGAAGTCAGGCGCCGCCTACAACGGCTCTGTGGTGTAAACGTTGCGACCGTTACGACTTGAAGACTTGGCTCTGCACTTAACGGAACTCGGTCTCCACGAACATGTGGCCATCTCCTTATACCTGTCACACCTGCATTTCGCCCTCGGCTTGTTTTTAGGTGTTTGTAGGATTTGGCCCGCTTCCCAAACCTTTACATCAACCGAGAAGCATAGACCCAAGCATACAGCTTGTCTCAGACTTTGGCCACGGCGACTACCAACGAAACCCGGTCTTGTTTCCCAACATTACAGCAACTACCGGACACTAGTTCAACTTCAAGCGGCTAATGCCTAATGCCGGTTGTGTAGGGGAAATACTACTGCCCCGCGTCAATAAGAGCTGCTATACGCGGCCCTGATGCATGGGTGACTGGACACGCCGCTCCCCAATTTGTTTGTGCTAAGCTTCTGCTGAGCTTCAGGTGTAAAACATGTACAGGCTGTACAGGTGACCGGAGCTGAAGTCTACTAAGTGTTTTGCCAGGTCAAACAAATCGACGTAGTGACCTTGTGGTTCGTTTGAAGGCTTACGAGGTCACTTCTAGAATAGCTGTTTTGCTTGTTTGGCGGGCTGCTGGGCCAGCTAGCGGGAGCTTTGAATTCATGGCACCCGCCGGCTAATTCGTGATATCGTTCGCGGAATTCAGCCTAGGGTGCGTCTTTCATGCGAAACGTAAAGTCGTCCGCTTTTTTACTCGTCCGTTTCTCCCCACCCTAACCTTAAACCTTGAGCGCCGAACTCTCAAACTCACGCAAAGGTCTCTCTCAGGTTCCCTGCCAAGGAGGGAGGGCAGTAAGCTTCGATCTTCAATCCCAACTGTGAACGGGTCACTACGCCCTGAAAAAATTCCAAGATGTACTGCACATACTAGTACACTGGAGGTGGGAGGTGGCTGGGAGGCTGCGGTGCACAGAGTGCAGCATTAACTTCAAAGTCGATTGCTCAGAACTCTGTTTTCCCATCTGTTTAGCTTGCAGAATTGCAGAACTCTTGGTTCAGGGCTTGGGGCTTGCAGTGGGGATTGTGCTCATTGCAGATGTTCTGCTGGGGCATTCTCTGGTAAGTGTACTCTAGGTCTTGAGACGCCAGCTCCAAAGCAATCTTTTTCGGGCCTAATCCCTTCGTCCTGAAATTCCGGTCCGACTGGTGTGTATGAATGAAGTCCGTGAACAGCGCGTACTTTGTTGGAGCTACCCTCTTTGTTTTTTTGTTTTGGATGCCTGGACGTCAGGGTCCGGGGCCAGCTTGGGAAAAGTGTTGGGAGCCAACTTGGGTGGCATTTTGTGCACGCTTCTCGCGGAGGGCTCCGTTTCAGCGCATGCCCATCCAGATGTGTTGTGCAGGCCGTGAGGCGAGGCGGGGGATTTGCCGCGTTGGCGCGAATTCATCCTGAACTCCTGAAGGGCAGAGGTGGCAGAGAAGTGGCAGAGGGCTTCAGAGGGCCCTTCTGTGCGGGCTGTGCTCTCTGAATTCTCATCGCCTGCTTCAGCGACACCTTGCAGACCTCGAAGAACTGGTCGAGCTCCTCGTCGCTCAGCCGGGCGTCCTCTTTCAATTCGTCGTGCTGAAATAACATACTTTTGATTTGCTACCGTAGCTATCCGCCGACCGGGGCGGCATCAGTGAAATCCCGCCCTTTCGTCTGCCCTGGTCTGCTCTCC